CTCCGGGGTCGGCAAACAGGTACCAGACGTTTTTGGGAGGATAGTACCACGGATCGCCTAAGGTATTGATCCACGCCGAAAGCTCTATTGTTTCTTTGTTTGCTTATTTTATTGGCATACGACCCACTTATACATATTGTCCAGATCCTAGCACTTCTCTTACTCGGTTGATTTTACTGCATTCTTAGTCCACAAAAGCCTATTTACTCTTCCCGATGGGTTCGGCTGTTACTTCAGAATTTTTCGCCTTCATAAATATCTTCGAAAGCTGGTCGAATTGATTATCACAGGAACCCTGAGATAACTTTGCTAGAGCGCTCTTAGGTCTTCACCACAGACGGTCTCCGGTCAACAGGGACCAGAGGTCCCCTACCAATTTACTAACGGAGAATCGCGTTGGGCTTGGTTGGCACGGATCATGGTCGAAACAGCGACCACGCATGTTTTACATAGCTTTTCCGACCACTGCAATGCTAGGGTCATGTCATTAGAATAATTTAAAAACTATCCTGGTCGATTATTTTAATAAGCCGAAATCTGCAAGCATCACCAAGCAAAGAGAAAAACGACGCGCATGTGCCAATTAAATGGTGATGCTCTCGTCAATTATGGAGCAAAAATTTCGTCACGAAATTCCAGTGGTGTAGACTTCCTCGTGACCCACCTGTTACTCATCCCGTCGACTCAGCCTTCATCTTCGAATACCGCTACAAAGGAATATATATCACAACAGTGTCTACTTACTGATCGCTGCATTTGATGACATCCAATTAGGCATGCTGTGGTCGGCTGAAGCTTTTTTTTATAACAAAATAGCAGTATGATTAGCACACTTGAAGTAGGAGAACGAAACAAGAATGGTAACTGACATTATGAGATCCTTCCACGTCTCTTCTATGCAATCATTGCTGCCACATGGATATGAAATGGACGAGAAGCATTCTTGAATCCACATAACTAATAAAAACGAGTCATCTAATTGTCTATGTAATTGCACACATTCTGAAAGCCACCATTCATAAACTACTCGCAAGACGAACACCGAAAACAACTTAACATGTAAATATCAACAGCGTGAAGCATTCCTTAGAAACACGGACATTCCCTCTACATCGTCTCCATACATTCTTTCAAGAGTAGAGTCTGCCCTGGCTGACCTAGGGGCTCCAGGGAACCACAATGGTTAAACCAGCAAAACTCCGAAATAATGAAAATGATGCTGGGGCCCGCACAACCAGTGAAGACGGGCCAAACAAGTGTCCAAGTATACACAATCCTTCAACTGATTTACCTTCACGAAACAATACCTTTCCATCACATTGCAGTAGAACTTGATAAGAGACGCCAACCAGAAGATCAGGGTTCATTTATTCGCACTTTGAACCACCTTACCTCTCGAAGTAATCAGAAGTTCAAGGCGTTGTTCAGCCTGTCGTAGTTGAACACAGCGCTGTCATGAGCACCACACCAGAGCGAGCGCGGTCCACAGCATGGCCCTCCGACGGGAATATGGGCAATCGTTCGTCGGCTGCTAACTTTCGTGTATATTTAAAATGAAAATCAAGTTCACAACAAACATACCACCTTAAGGGTTGTGATGAGGTAAGAATTGGGTCCCTATGTTGGACTATGCAAGTACACTACTGTACGAACTTTGAATTATTCTGCACTTTGGGTCTATTGCGGTGTTTTTTCATATCTGCATGTTCCATCCAATGATTTCGTGATTAAAATGAACGAACATGATTGTTGGTCAAATCACCGGTAAGCGAACGTCTTTGAAAACGGCATTTTGTAAGCCAATGGGTGTGGAGGAAGGTTTTTCTGGTCCCACCCCTGCTATTCGAATCTTCCTTCAATTGGCTATCGAACAAATAGACATGCTGCGTTGAAAAAAACTAGACTTACTAGACTAGAAATGGCCACCATAGGGTCACCACCATCACATGGCCCAACCAAGAGGTTCATAGGGACCCTCACCGTTGTCGGTCTGTGAATTCACCACGTCCGAGCTACCGTAATCGACGGCATCTGATAATTCCGCCTATCTCAAACACGAGGAAAATGCTGTCATGTTATATTGCTTGTCATCTTTCTGCTTTCTAGTTCGTTCATTTTAATAACACGTTCTGACATGGTTTGTGGTTCTAATTTTTCTAGAAGTAGGTCCGTCGAGACTTTCTAATTCCTTTGACCCCGAGGCGAAATTGAGCAAATTGGGTTTAAGTAATCATGCATCCTCTGTGTTCCTGTCATGGTTTGATAGAACAGATAAGTAATGGCGTTGTTCTTGGCGATGTATCCTCATTCGCTGCTTTCAGATTTTGTAAAATTCCGTGGAACTATTTGGCAAACAGTCGCCTTACAAACTGTAGTGCTGATATTTGTCCGTCTTCGTTTTGTCGTTTTTTTTTCAGTACTGTGTGTAGTACATCGTCAGCAGTTCAAAGGGAGGTTACAATGGTGAGTCTTGTGCTGGAAATTGCTTGTAGGTTTATGTTTTGAAATGTCGTATGAGATAGCGGATAGAAGTGAAGGACTGATGAAGCTGGCAACAACAGACTTGGATGTATCAGTTGTGTGGAAATAGTTATCCTGGTTTTGATCTTTGCTCTTCTCAGAGCGATAGCGAAGATGACGTTTCTGTCTCGGAATCAGAAGTGGAAGAAGACGATATTACGAGCGAGGTCGAGATGGGTGACGAAGACGTCCATGCCAGTGATTGTAAGTCTTTTTTCTTACTAGAACAACTACTGAGTTAAGCCATATTTTGCTTTTTATCTAGTTGGTCTTTCAACAACGGACAATTTTCCTATAGGAACGAATGGTTTTCCTTTAGCACTCTTAAGTAACTCTATACGCCTCTGTGGTCGTCATGTGTGACCTCGGACATTCCTATTCTAGTTTAAGTGCACTAGATTTGAGTATGGATAACCACCTTCCTATTCTCTTTGCTTCTTTTTATCAGGCACTCTAAGCACTCCTTAATTGAGCATTTCTTTCAAGGGAGAAAAGGTTCAGTGCGTCCTTTTGGTGTTAATTGGTAAGAAGTAGTTAAGAAGTTCAGTCTTGGATGTTCATACTCTGCAGGTTCTTCAGAGCCAATTTGATCGTTTTCGATGTGCAGCTGGTCCGCCTCTAATTCATTCATTTGATTTCATTTTGCTTACAAGGTGTTACTAAATTGGTGCCGTTACTTTAGGTCTACAACTTTTTTTATCATCAGGTAATTTGTTACCTGTTTCAACGTTTGTTGTTGCATGAAAGGATGAAGGTTAACGCTCTCGGCGTTGATCAATCCCTGAGGGATGCTCCATGCATTCGACTTCATTAAGCATCGATGTGACTGAATGCTTATCTGGCCTTTACAATGACTCGAGGTGGCTTACCGATGTATCAATCCACTGCTATTACCTTCTCAGACAAGGCTGGTACCAATTTTCCGGCCCCGGAAGGAAAGAAGGCTTGGTAACCCACCGGCACGTGGACCGATCTCATCTGTTGTTGCAGGGTGCCTCCGACCACAGCACAACACGCGCCTTCTAATCCATCATAAGGATTATAAATGAAACATGGTGTTATATCTTTCTTGAATTAACCCTTTGAGCATGTGCTTCCTTGCGAGTTTGCGAATATTCTGTCGTCCGAAACTATTAACTGAGTTCTAGTAATAATCTATTATTTTAAACAGCTAATAATTTGAGGCGATGAGAACGAAATGGATGTTGGTTCGAATTCGTCATGTGTCAAGTGGTATCAGAAGGAAATTTGGCAGCTCTCGAAGCTTCCGTACTATGATGATCTTGAAAGGCAGGCCAATAGAACAATTTCATTAGTCAAGGTATGAGCTGCCTTGCTTTTCTTTTCGTTTTGTTTGACTCCTTTCGTTTAATTAATCGGATCTTTCCGCCATCCTTGCTATAAGAAGGCTGGTATATTTTTCGAGTAATCAATTTTATTTTCTTCACTGGGTAGTAGTTTTGCTAAGACAACCAGTTATTCTTCGTATTCTTATTGAGCAAACGCGAGGTGTTATTCTATTCTTCATTTACGAATAAGCTGACGTTTCGGCGGATTTCGCCTTCCTCAGAGCCTGGAAATGTCAAGCTGACAGCAATCTATTCGGCCAAACACCTCCATAACGAAACAGAGAAAACGCTAAACCAAGATTTCAATCACATTGAATACAGAATAGCTTCTATAGCTTCTTTGCACACTCACCGCTTTCTATGAGTCTTCCGCTGAGTATACCGCGTGGAGACCAGCCGCACAGAATTCACATGAAGGCGTAATGTGCCCCTCCCATCAGAACAGGTTTATATACTATCCAATATCACGCCTAATAATGAGTTATTCTTCTCTGCGGTTCATTTTCGGATTTCTGGAATTAATCCAGGACTCCTCGAGAGCTTTGTGCGCTTATGTTCTCGATTCCTGTGGGAGGATCGTGACCCTTACTTGTCCTTTGCTCAACACAAGAGGAAATGGTCAAATGTTTCGACTTGTTGAACGAACAGTCAGAGTATATCAAGTTCACCCGAGAGAAACCGAAAGAAAACTGACTTCCATTCCTGAACGTCCAAATTAACCTGCCAGAAAATGGCTACATTGCGAAGCTGTACCGAAAGCCAAGTAGTAAAAACATCTTGGTTCATTGCCTCTCCTCTCACTTCTCTCACTCGAAAAGGGCGCTTGTAAGAAAAATGTTTCGAACATCAACCAACGTGTGCACGGGAAGAGAACAGAGAGAGGTGTCCCGGAACTTGGCACGGCAAATAGCCATTTATAATGGCTATGAAACTGTAGCTCGGGATAGGTGTAGGGGGAATCCTAGGCGTCCAAGCGACAATTTTAGCGATAGAAAGGTCCCGTTTATCCTACCCTTCATCTCAAATGATGTAATTGCAGCTATAAAACGCTGCTTAGGAAGGGCGGGTTTCGGCGGATTTCGCCTTCCTAAGCAGCGTTTCGGTCTTGAGAATTCGGTAAACGTAGTTGAAATGCCACCGAGTAATCTTAGGCACCAACTAGTTCGTAACCGCTTATATGACCGTCTATGTGCAACTCAAAATTGCATAATTTTCCCTAGTGTTAGAGACGGTGATTGCATGAGTTCGGGTACAGTTTATCTGATCTCCTGTAAGGCGTGCGGAGACGAATACGTTGGCGAAACGGGTAGATCACTCTGCGTTCGTATAAAAGAACACTTAGTCGGCAAACGTAGACGAAATACTCCACTAGGAACGCATTGGACCCAGAGACATAACAGGGGGATTTTGAAGTGTTGGTCACGATCCTTGCACAGGAATCAAGAACACATGCGTGCAAAACTCTCGAGGCGTTTTGGATTAATTCCAGAAATCCGAAAATGAACCACAGGGAAGAATGCCTCATTATCACGTGATATTTGGCAGTATATAAGACTTATTCTGATGGGAGGGCACATTACGCTTCCATGTGAATTCTGTGCGGTTGGTCTTCACGCGACATACTCAGTGGAAGACCCATAGAAAGCGGTGAGCGTGTAAAGAAGCTATTCTGTATTCAATGTGATTGAAATCTTGGTTTAGCGTTTTCTCTGTTTGGTTATGGAGGTGTTTGGCCAAATAGATTGCTGTCCACTTGACCTTTCCAGACTCTGAGGAAGGCGAAACCCACCGAAACGTCAGCTTATTCGTGAATAAAGAATAAAATAATACCTCGCGTTTGCTCAGCAAGAATACGAAGAATTACTTGATCAATGCTGAGGTTGATAAAAAGTCGGTCGTGGGATTTACTACCAGGTAATGCTAATGGCAAGAATAGACGGCATCCTTGGGTCTTCTTAATATGAGTAGCTACAGCCTTTCTTTCACAACGTTTATAGAAACTGTTCAACGTGAATTGAAATTTGGGTATTTAAAGCAACACCTAGGATCACATTCAGGCTGGTCTAGCCCATGCCGTTCTACTGAACGATCCTGTCACAGGGCTGGTGCACTGGGTTCCAGAGTTAGAACGGTTCGTTTGGGATTTTGTTTTCGTTCTTCCTGCCATCATAAACTGTCAGCTTCGATGAGGCTTGCAAAAAAAGTTGAATGGGTTTTGTGCCGTTTAAAATTTCCTCAACCATTTCTTCTTTTAACTTTTCAAAACTTTAGCAGGACACTTCAGATACATTGACTACCATGGCCGCCGTTTGAGTAAAGACGATCACATTCTTTTTGTACGTCTTCTAAACTGCTTGGTAACCAAAGGAAACACCTTCAAAGACGTTAAAATTGCACTGCATTGCCTCAACAAGTTACTTGGGTACGTGACATATTGGAAATAGGAACATGATGACCGTTATAAGGATTACTAAAGGTTTTAAGGGTGTAAAAGGTTTTCGAACAGGGTCTTTAGTATTCCATCTTTTTTTCCTAATTTTGTCAGGTTTAGCAAGCGCGACTTTCTTCTGCGCGGTGATTTGGTAATTGACTGGCGACCATTACTGGAACTCTACATAGAGGTTTCATATAAGAATCTGGAGGTTGGTTTAGAACTTACGGCGACAAATTCGTGGTGATGTATTGCTTTTTATTGTAGTTATTAAGGAGGCGTGTTCAAAAATTTGTGGAGAAAAGCTTCTGATTGTCTCATACTCTTACTCGGTTTCGATTTAGTGCTGGTGACTGTTCACTCAGTTGATGTGTTTCTAGGAAGATGGGATATTTCTTATGCCCGACGGATTCAAAGCTGAGCTACATGCCTACGTTTCACATGCGCGGAGATATTTTTCGGATGATTCCCCGCAGCAGTTGCTCGACGAGGTACATTAAGTTAAACTGACTTGAGTGAAACTAGCTGAGAGAAAGGGGAAACAAAGGACCAGCATGGTGTAGTGATGAACGCGTTAGCAGCACGGAATGAGTAATATCATGTCTGAACCCCACCGCAGCCACTTGCCGTCCGGAATTTTGTAAATATCTCAGCATCATTAAAGCTTTCCTTCGGTTTTTTTCTCTTCTATCTAATATCATGGATCACATGAAGTATTTAGCTACGCCCCCTGATGTGCGTTTGGGATGAGTCTGTTGTACGAGCATGGCGATTGTTAGAACTTTTTATGCCAATGAATATTGCAGCTGAAAGACAGCTAACTCATGGTGGTTTCTTTTCTTGTGTTATTTTGAGGGTCTTTGAAGTATTCTGTCTACTTTCAGCTGAATTCTATTTTATAAATTTTACCAGTTGTTTTTAAGGCAGTGGCTTGTGGCTTGATGAGGCTTGGCATTGGTTTGTTACAGTTGAAAACAACAGCTTGGTTGAGGCATCCATTCTTAAGATGTTTGTCAGGCAAGTTTAGTTACTCGGTAGACTTGTAAGTGTGAACAGTCAAGAGATTTTGTTTAAAAGGTTTTTCTTGTTGTCTTGCTTATTTCGTTCCTTTGTTCTTTATCATAATGTCTCTAGGTTGTCTGTTGAATGTCCTGGATCTATAAATTGGTACGATAAACTTGATGTAGTTTTTACAAAGGTTTGTTTAATACCATAGTAAAGAATGTTGCTCCATTTGTTTGTCAAGTGAGGACCATCACTATACCAACTTGTTCGTGCACTTAGTTGATTCGATCATTTCGTCTTGGAAACGTGGTCGGTCTCTGTCAGCAGTTCAATCTCGAAGCAGCGTCGGGATTTATCACCTTTGCCATGGGTACTCAGTGTCATGAAAAGTAGGATGCGCTCTGTTTATTCTATTATGACTCTCTATGAACTCTTCTACCCGTAATAATCTATGTCATTGTATTTCCGCAGGTTAATGCATAATTTGGGATCGGTTTTTCGTCTAGTCGAATCGTATTTACACCCGTCAAATCATGGAATCCACACTCAGAATCTCCTTGTGTTTATGAATAAGTACGTTATTTTCGCCTTGATCTTTCGTCTTTTCAAATTGTTTATGGTTTCAAAATTTAGCAGCGTTGTTCCCCGCTGTGTGGTTATGTTAAATAATGCTGGTAACTGGGAAGAAATCACAGTTGAAACTAGCGAAACTGCTCTCACTTTCTATTGGCTTCCTTTCAGACTCTCATTTTGTGTTTTATCTCGAGTGAAACGGGAGCGTATGGAGAAAACTTCAAGCAAGCCAAGAACCTTCGTAAAGGTTTGCTGAAAATTGTGATTCTCTGCTCTTCCTTTGCTGATGGTAACTCAAAAGTTTGTGTTGACTTTAGATTCCTGCTTCAATGCGACTTTCTCAGAACCATCTCGATCAGTTTGTAACTCAAATGCTGCCTTGTTTGAAGCTAGCGATGTTTTCTAAGGCTCGTAATGAGTACGTTTCAATCATATTAGTTCTTCTAAGTGGCGTATTTTCTAGGAATTTACTACAATAGTATGCGACGCATGCAACGAAATTGTTAGAGGTGCTCTGTAATACACCCGTGACCTTCGGTTCGATCCCACTCCCAGATCCACCAAGCTTTTCATTCCTTCGCAGTCGGAAAATTCGAACCAGAACTGTCTGGGAGGATAGCAGTCCATTGGTAGTCCACCGCAAGTCTTCGTTTAGGCCAGATGCGCGTTCTGTCACTACTTGATGAAGACGAGTGTATGATTCATCATTCAGAGATTGATCAGCTCCCAACGCTTTATCCTTTATCATTTTGTAGTAATGTTAGCATTTGTTTGATACCATTGTTGAAATATTCTAGATTCGTTACTCCTATCGTTAAGTGCTGTTGCAGCATCAGTCCTAAAGTTGTGTTACCAGCTGTGCTAGATGTGTGGGTTCCCTCTCTTTTTTTGCTGAAGGGTTTATGATAACTAAACTATGAAGATTTGTTATAGTTATTTCAAATTAAGTTGAAGTCGCTGATACATTTCATTCTTGTTTTAGCGTGTATCCAGCATTAGAAACTCTTACTGAGCCACATCGTTTGCTTCAAGCTCTTCAAGTGCTCGTAGCTGTAGCGCCAATGCTCGCTAAAGATCAACCGGATAAAGACGGGAAGACATTTCGGTAAAGAACTGTTACGTGCTTAAAACACTAGGATTCGATATATTTGCTAACATTATATTACATGTTGTTAGTTGTCAAACTCAACTATTGTATGTGTTCTTTCTTTGACATGCTTGCACGAATTTGATGAAGATTAAGAAGATTTTGTCAAAGGTTAAAGAAACTTATCAAACAAAGAATACATATTGATTAGTCATACTGAGGTGAAAGGAGAGTCGGTTTTGAAACATCGTATTTCTTCTCTTCTCGGAGTTTTTTTTTCAAATAAATAAGGAAAGAGAAAAAAGCATTCCAAGCGGAGTACTTTCTCTTTCCCACTTAATGTTAAGTATAGAGAAGTGAGGTTCCTCTTTGGCGAGTATGGGAAATGTAACCCACTTCTGAAAAGTAGTCAATAGAAAAGTTAGTACCTGCTTATCCACTGTTTATTTATGCCGCAAATTTTTTATTTCTTGTTCTTTTACTTTTTTAAATTTTTTTTTGTGGAAAGCACCTATGGTGATTTTCAGGGTTCATGCTATTAACCTAATGAGCTCCTTACTTCCTGGTTTGGACCAGAATGATATGGGTAAATGTCTCACAACGTTCCAGGTTTGTGTCATATCAAACTAGTTTTTAGTTAACTGTTTAGAATTGTGTTGTTCTAGATTGTTGGGGTGTTGGTAAACTTGATTCCATTAGTTGACTGTTCCGATGCTGTTCACCTTCGCTCGGATTTAACCGATGAAGAGAAAGAGTTATGCTCTGCGACTGCTAATTTTGACAGCATTATTGCTATGTTCATGGACAAGTGGGTTTCTATTCTTTTTCACGACAAAAAAGAGTGATTCGATATTCCTGACAACTTTTTCACCATGACTATATTTTCAAAACTCGTTAGTTGATCCAAACTTGGCACTTGCTCAGTTATTTAACTTCAAGGTTGTTATCGATGATGGTCGAATACGGAGAAGCTGCAGCTTTTAGTGGTTCACATACCAATATCAATGCTAAAACAAGAGCAAATGTAGACGATCACATACTACATAGGTATGGTTTTTTGTTCTGAAACTAGCACGAAGTCACCAATTCCGTGCCTAATATAGCTTCGAAATATTTAGATACTTGAATGGCCCGTCCTCACTAGTCGTGCAGGTCCCAGCAAAATTTCCATGGTCTTCGAGTTTTGCTGGTTTAGCCATAGTGGTTCACGGAGTCCCGAGGTCAGCGTAGCCAAACTCTGCCCCAAGTGGTCACTTGCACAAGCATTGTGGATCAGGTGGAGATTTACCCCCATACGACTATTTTTATACCAAAGCAGTGGTGGATCCCGGTAATGGTTTACTCTTAGCTAGGTTTCCTGATAGAGACGCCGGACTCCTCAGCTTAGGAGACCCTCCTGGGGGGTGGATGAATCTCCCGCTGCACATCGCAGCCCGATACCTCCCAGGCACGATGGGACAGTAAACGGAGCTTCGAAATGAAATTGTTATTTTTTTAAAGCAAGTTTACGTGAAAGTTTTACTTTCAGGGGCACCATATCGGTATTTAAAGGAATTTGTCGTAATTCAAGCACAGCACTTTATAAGGTAATCGCTTCAATTTAGTTGAACTGAATGACATGTTTCCTTAACCGTTGTTCAGTTTTCTTCTCCTTATTCTGCGTTAAAGTTTCTCACCAAATAGATATTTGGAACTACTTCAATCTTGTAGAGGTACTAGTTGAAGAGTTTTTAATTTTCTAGGTGGCTGTAGACCGCTTATATAACTTTCTTTGTGAACACGTATTTGATAGCAAAACTGTGTCAACAGCAATATCGGATATGGTGTTTGTAGCAGTAAAGGTAAAAATTTCTAGCAGTTACATCTTAAATCGTATGTTTAACTATAAACTTGTTATACGCTTTTATTTTCTGCTATAATTTCGCGGCAGAGTACTAAGCGCAATACAACCACAACGTTGCTGAGATATTTGCAAAACTGTGGACCGCAGGTGTCTATGGTGGGGAACGAAATTGTCCTTTCCGGGGAGAGCGCGTTCGTTCCCCACCATAGACACCTGCGGTCCAGAGTTTTGCAAATATCTCAGCAACGTTGTGGTTGTATTTCGCTTAGTACATTCCGCGAAATTATAGTAGGCAGAAAATAAGAAGGTATAACATTGTGATTTCAACTACGGCCGCAGCTTAACTGGGTTCTATAAACTTGTGATAATGTTAAGGTTTTGTTTACTGCCTGCTATGATTTTTCATGGCAGGATATGATGTGAAATACAACCACCACGGTCTGAGTTATTCGCAAAAGTTGGACCACGGGTCAGATCAAACCACGATTATCCTTTCCGTGGGCTCGCGTATTGCACGCTGTACCACTGACGCCCTTACTCTGCCTTCCTCTCAGCTAGTTTCCTACCGAACGCTGCCATCAGCAAAACTTGTGATGATTAATTCTATCAGTGCAACTGCCAAAATATCATTTCTTGTCTAACTTGTCGTTTTGTTGTGGAAGTTAACTGCTGTTTTCAGATGTATCCCACTCTATCGTTCGTAAGGTTCTTCTCCTTAATCAAGAAGAAGTTGCAACAGTGCATCAGCGGTATGTATCACTTTTTCTCGGTGAACTCATTCCAGGTTTCTGTTATATCAGTTAAACCGTACTGTTCATACTCGTTGTTTTAGTGGAAACATATTCTGAGGAAAAAGTCGATTTTCAAGTAATATGGTGGCTATCGATGACTGATCGAGTTCTAAAGGTATGATATTGTTACATGAATACGCGTGGTCTCCTATTGTAGTAAAGTCACTGAAACTCTTTGTGTAACATTTTTAAGGCTCCTGCTAATCATATTCTTGAAAATTGGTCAGCAGTTCGTGAGTTACTCGAATTGGTCCTGCCACTCAAGAAGTGCACGCTGGCTACTGTAGTAAGTTTTGCATTATTAATATTGCATTGTGGGGTGGTTTACGTCACCATACTCAACACACAGTGCCGCTATATGAATGACCATTGCTAAGAAAAGAAGCACGTGGATGATGTGTTGAGGCCAGTAGGCTTTGTGAGCCCGACCCTTCTAGCTACTGTTAACATCCCATTTTGCATGATTTTAAGACCATGTCGATGTCAAGCAGAGATGTACGTCACTTTTCTACGTCAGCATTCAGGATTTCAAGGCTACTGCAAGCTTGTCGTATCCTTCCTATTCCACCTGCATTTTCTGCTAAATAAAATCGGAAACATAACTCGTATGTAATGCTGAGATATTTGCAGAACTACGGACCGCTGGTGTATGCGGTGGGAAACGAACACGCCCTGTTGTCCTTACCGGGGAGCAGCGCACTTCACCACCACACCATTCGGGTCCTTCGTTTTGCCTGTCAGGACGGATGGTGTGGTAGTGAAGTGCGCTGCTCCCCGGTAAGGACAACAGGGCGTGTTCGTTCCCCACCGCATACACCTGCGGTCTGGAGTTTTGCAAGTATCTCAGCATTATATACGAGTTATATTTCGCAACATACCCTGCCATTAAAAAGAAAAAGGCAGTAAATAAAAGGGTTAAGATTGAAATCGGAAAATTGTTACACTTGCTTTCCGTAAAGACGTCACAGCAAGCTGACGAATGATCCTGGAAACTGAAGTGTTCTTTTAAAGATTATAAACTGAAGACAGGCAGCGAAAAAACCTCATCTGGCTACAAAAGCTTTTTTGATAGTGTGCGAGGCAAATGAGGAAATAATGGAGCATTAGAAAAGAGGGCATAGTATATAAAAACATGAACTTAGTAGTTCTGATGAGTAAAGGCAAGTGTTATCTGCATTCTTTGATAGTATTGTTTTGGATTGTGCTCGATTTACCAGTTTTTAAAATCGCCAGTTTTTTGGGAATATTTCTAAAAACATCAAGCATCTTATGGCTAAGTCACTACGTAGAACAATTGGAATGCATCCTTTGTATATCCTACATCCTAGGAAACTGAAGGTCGCTCATCTTGTGCAATGTGCGACGGCTCGAATTCTTGGGATTTGGGCATTAGAAGTATTAGGGACACCCTTTGCAATTAGCTCATTAGTCATAATGACGCTGAGGTATTTTCAAAACTCTGGGCCACTGGTGTCTGCAGTGAGGACTGAACGCGCTGTTGTTACCCTTTCCGCGGGCTAACGCATTCAGCACCATACCATGCGGGTCCTTCGTTTCGCCTTTCTGTTAGCCGTGTTATTGAGCTCATAAATGTTATGACAGCTTTCTCCAGATCTAAAGATTTTTGAAGGAGAACACCTGATCTCGTACTGATCTGGCTTCATTTTGCGTTTTGCCATGAATTTTTCGTAAACGGAATCGATTTTTGTCTTTCTTATCGTGTACCTGCCTCACTGGCTTCTTGAATATTGTCAGTGCTCCCACTGGAATGTCTTGGGTGGATATTACCGAAAGTACAATGGTTTTATACGTACTAAATTTGTTGCGAAATCAAGCGAATTCATTATTCAGGCAAAGCGTTCTCATCCGTGGTCGATCTATGCACATAGAATTGCCTTTCTAAGCAATGCAGTGCATCGTGCAGAAGTCGATGTTATTATCAGCTAGTACAAAGCATGGTAATATTTCGGAACCGACATTCCTTTAATCTCGGTGTGGCTGATCAATACGTATTCTTTCTTGATGAGCTTACCCGAGGTTGATAAGTATATTTATTTTCGGTTAACGTTTCGACGTCTTCGTTTTCATCGGAGCCGATGACCCGAGTCGACGGTCCATGTTTGTTATTCGTCTCGACTCTATGGTATGTCCGGCAGAAAAACAAGTTGTTATCATCCGACATTATCATTATATCCACCATCAGCATCGTGTATAAAAGGGCATCACCGAGTGAGGATGCCTAATTCGAGGAGATGGCCCGCTGAGGAGGACCTGACTCGACACGAAACCGCCACATCGGGTCGAATAATGAGCGTGGACCATCGACTCGGATTATCGGCTCTGATGAAGACGAAGACGTCGAAACGTCAGCCGAAAGTAAACACACATATCAGCATCGTGTAAGCTCATCAAATAAGGAATATTGAATTGAAAAAAAATTGAAGAATAAAAATCGAAAGTTGAATAATATTGATTAGTCACATCGAGGTTAAAGGAAAGTCAGTTTCAAAATACTGCTTTTTCCATCTTTGCGAGCACTTCTCGTTTGCCAGCAAAAGCTATGGCAAGTGGCAATTCCCTTCGATCATCGCATTTTGGATGTGATCTGTGAAGTGGTATCCACCCCACTCCCCAGAATCTTACCTGGCAGTCACCCCGAGTTTGTATACTCAGTAGGATAGTTTTCGAAAATTGATTGCAATCAACAAGGAGATCGTGCGCTGAGTGCGAATATACGTCCTGCCCTGGGCAAGATGACAATGCGAACTCTTCCAGTGCTTAAGAATCCTCTTTTTATGAAGTGGCGTATAAGTTGCGAGGAGTTTTTTGGGTTCCATATTTAGGGAGGCCCTTTATTGTGATGCTTTTTGCCGGGTTTTTGTCCTTCTTCGTGCTCTTAATTGCAAATAGGTTACATAGGTCCTGATGGCGGTTTTTAGACCGGTGACTTTTTAAGGCGCCTCAAAACGGTTGTTTCTTCCTACGCCGTTCTCCTCTTCCAAGAATATTCTGCAGCTGGCACTTTTTTACTTGCATATTTGATTTCTAGTCGGATTTATTTTCAATCGTGTTTAATTCTTGAAGAACTGCTAATGGTGAACGTAGAATCTGAAATTGATTGAAGAACTAAGCCGTAGTAGGCAAACTTGGTGTTTTTTTTTTGATCGACTTTTCGTATTGTTCGGTCAAGTCATCCTCGGTTTGTAGTCATATAGAATAACGGTTCCGCCCACGCCATTTTTTCCAAATACGGCTTGTCTTTGTTTTGCCTTTTTTTTTGTTTTTGAGTGACAGCATTACTTCTGAATCAACGTATGACTGCATAGGAAAAACTAATCACATCCAACACAAAGTGGGTGGTTCTACGGTAGTCCAAAGGAGAACCTAGTGTGCTAAGCACTGGATCCGATTTATGTTGTTCAATTGCTTTTCCTCGTTAGATTGTTGACTGATATGGGTGCTTGTAGCGCAGTGGTCGGAGGCGCTTTGCAATAAACATCGGATCGATCCCCGTGCCCCAGGCTCATCGAGCTCTCCATCTATTCGGGGTCGGAAAATTAGTACCAGACTTGTCTGCTAGGATAGCAGCACTGGCTAGATACATCGGTTGGCCACTGTGAGTTATTGTACAGACCAAATATGTATTCATTCAGCTCCAGCGATGCTTAATAGGGTCGGATGCATGGCGCGTTCCACAGTGATCATCTTAGATTGGTTTCATGTATGACGGTGACTATACATGCCATTCATTTACTCTTAGTTGGGTTTCTGGGTGGTCATTTCAAACATTTTGGAATTATTAACCTTATAGTAGAATTATTGTCTTGCTGAACATGGTATCTACACCAAGGAAAGGCAGTAATGCTGAAGTATGGAATGAGCTATTGAAGGGTGCTGATTTTAAGTAGTAGGGAATTTTTGTGAAATTGTTACCTATTGTACCTGTGTTAGACAGATGTTATAAAATAGGTGCAATAAGTACCGTGTTGTCACATCGATGTAGATAAGAGCTCTTGTAGCGCAGTGGTTGGACGCGCCTTGCAATACACATGGGATCTATTCCTTCGTCCCTGGGCCACCAAACCTTCCATCCATCTGCAGTCGGCAAATTGGTACCAGAATTATCTCGTAAGATAACTGCACTGGCTCGACCCATCGGTAGGCCACCGCGAGTCATTGTATAGGCTAGATATGCATTCAGTCACCTCCAGTGATGTTAGTGAAGTCGAATGCATGGCGCATCCCGAAGGGCTGATCAACGCCGAGAGCTTAATCTTTTTTATTTTTTATTGCACCTGTTTTCTGTTGCGGTTGTTTAAAAAAATAAGTTTATTGGTATAAGTAGAGGGTATAAAATGGCATACTCTCGTTATATACGATTCCAGAAATCCGCTGCTATCTTGGAGAGCGTATTGGAAAGCCTTTGCAGTATCTACCTCCTTGAGTCTCCTACTCGTAGAGCGAATGCTGACAAAAGTATGGAGGAAACGTTAGCGATACGGGTATGCTAGATTTGTTACATTCTTTTTCTGTCAATTATGATGCAAGAATAATTTCAGTTCTTGTGAGTTCACGATACTGTTTTGAACTGAGGAATTTTGAAATCTTGTTAAATTCCTTATTTGTCGAAACTAAAAATTTTTTTTCTTAGATTAACTTCTTCCAGTTACCTTTTGTTTCTAAACATTATCTTGAAAGATCACAGGGCTTTATCTAGCCAAATGCTGAATGACTGGAATCTTTTAGCATTGGTCTGCAACGGTTGACAAGAAAACATGGTGTCCTCAGTGGTAAGTTGACCGCTGACTTTTTTCGGAGTCATCCTATTTTACCAACATTTGTTCAAGGTTCTTCCCTCTTATTTAGGCATGTCCCATCCCAAGAGGATATAGACCGTGCAGCAGAACTATTCCGTGTTTTTGTAATACCAGCACTACAGGCGTTAGCTACTCCGCATGGGATGGATAAGTAAGTTTCGTGAATGTCCTGACTTTCTTCTTGACGGCCTAAATTTTTTTAGGTTATTTTATTTGTTTAATATTCTATGTTTTATGCTTTACAGAAGAGAAGTTATGCATCACATTATTCTAATACGTAACGCGGTGCTGGGTGCGTCGGCTTCGTTACCATTCTTTGAAGGTCCAAGTTTTGGTCTGGAGGATTCACCGTCGCTTGAAGCAGTTGAGCACCCAATCGCTCGTCCAGTTAACGCCCCTAGTAGGTTTATGCGTAAGATAACTTGAACAGAAGACCCACCTAATTGAGAGTCGTTTTCTTCATGTTTATAATCTGCTGCAAGCCTGCGACCTGAACCTAAAATTTGAAGGATTTACAACTGAAAGAGAACTTTGCTGTTTTCAGCTTGCCTAGTGACTTAATTTGTGATTTTTTTTTCCATGGGTAAGCTGTTTATATCCTAGTTCTCACGTTGGATGGTAAAAGTGTGCGAGATGTGGTACTGAAGAGTATGCGGACGTTGCTGGAGTATTTGTTCGAGCAGTCTGAAGATGACGTCAAGTCTATCCAACAAATTGCTATGCTTCTGAATACGCTTGCTTCATGTCGTGGATTAACCTCAGTAAGCCATTTTTCAAGGGCTACAAGTATTTCTAGGAGCATTCGTCCATACACTGTATAGCTTGGTTAGATTAAAATATACATAATCAAGGACTTATACGTCACGTCGGTCTTGAGTTACCGCACCACGAAAGCTATTCTCAGCGATCAATTGGTTGGAAATCGTGGATACATCGAAATGCTCTCTGAGGAGTATGTACTACTCATGCACAAGGTTTGCCCGTCTCTGGTTTCTAGTCAAGGCATAGAAGTGGAGTTTGAGTACTTGAACAATAGTTATCTTTCTAAGAACGTTGCGATTTTTGAAGCGGTCGGTCTCCAAGACCTTATTTATTGGAAATATTTTGAGTATTTGAAATTGTATATTAACATTCGAAGAAATGTAGTCCAGTTTCAGTTTCCTTAAACGGAAGCAGGATCTTTGGTTTAACACATTCGCGGTCATGCTTATTTTGCTTATTTTATGCTTACTTTACGGGCACCTGAGCACAGTTTTCGGTGCGCTAGTTTTGGCTTGAAATCAACCTATGCTGTCCTTTATACCCCTAGAAATATGTCCATGCTTCTTCATGTTTTTCGCTTAAAAACCATGTATTTCCTCGTTTTTTTGTGTTCTTGTGCTCCACTTTGTAGGTTGAGAAAAACCATGTCTACTCACTGTTTTTCTTTATGAGCAAACATGAAGTTAGTATTAAAGGATAAAAAGGATAAAGCTCTCGACGTTGATCAATCCCTGAGGGATGCGTCATGCATTCGACTTCATTGAGCACCGTAGGAGGTGAACGAATGCATATGGGGTCTTTACAATGACTCGCGGTGGCTTACCGTTTTGCCGAGCCAGTGCTGTTATCCTCCCAGACAAGTCTGGTACTAGTTTGCCAACCCAGGAGGGATGGAAAACTTGAGGAGCCTAGGACGTCGGGATCGATCCCATGTGCAAGACGCGTTAAACCACTGCGTCGCCACACACACCTCATGAAGTTGGTATTACAACGCTTGTTAATACCGAATAGCTGACGTTTCGGCGGTTTCACACTGTTTTGTTCTTTGTTAATCTTCGGCCATGTAGTGCTCTTTGCGGCTGGTCTCCACCAAATAACTAGAAAACTTACAGAGTACAGAACGGTTTGGAGGAAAACCACCGATGCATCAGCTATTCTGTATTAGTAATTGCTATAATAGCAATCTCATGTTTGCTCATAAAGAAAAACAGTGAATTGTTGACCAATGCCAAGGCTGAAAGAAACTCGTTCTCTGGATTTTGTCAATGTTTCAGTGACATTGCTGTTAGTCTTTGGTAGTTGTTATACTTAGTTTTCAGTTTCTCGGTGTTGGTCATGTTTAATCTTTATTTCAATTTTTTTAATTTTGCGTCATATTTAAGAATTTAACGCTCCGGAAATACACCATGTCAAATAGCATTGATAAGAAAGAGCGCATTTCATGTGTGGGTCCGAATATTTTAGAGTCTTCCTCAACGAATCTTTGCTGCTAAGTGGTATTAGAGTGGAGTTCAGAGACCGCTCTTGATTAGCCCTTTCGCATTTATTTCAATACGTACGTCTGCTGTCTATTTCGGACCGTACATCCTGATTTCATTGCGCATTCCTACATACTGTCCGCGAAAATGCTCGCGGTCGTGAAAGGCTTAAAGGCCTGTGTTTGGTGAACTATCGCTTAAAAAGCATGGCAAAAAGAAAAAATTCTGCGGAAAATGAAATAACTGAAAAAATGTGGAGTAACTGGAAAATCAACCGTCTAATCTACCTCTCGCGCATGCATTTACGCCAATGTGTTCTCGTGAATGTGTTAATTTCGAGGTTATTTCATTGTCCATAATGTTCTTATGCTACATATGTTCTAGAAGCGAAATGTAACACAAAGTGGATATCAATGCAAGCCTCAACATATCGAAATTCTTCGTATGCTTGTTAAGATTGGGACGAGCACGTACAGTCAAGTAAGACTGCTACCATTCGCTTTTTTATGGACTTTTATGGATCCTGGTTCACTTATCACATTGTCTCATCAATGTTTATTGAGTTTTAACATGATCCGTTTATTTTCGTTGATTCTTCAGTCAAGCGTTCTTTAACAGAATCGCATTAAAGCGCAACTGGTGCTTGTGAATCTGCTCAAGGACTATCCTTTTGCTCACAAGAGCATAATAGGTGAACTCATTGACCTATTGAATCCGTCTCGTAATTCATCACATGAGCAAATAAAGGTATGGTGTTCTTTGTATTCTGACGTTACTTCACGCACTTTGCTGTTATTTCTACATTTCTAGTCTTTTTTTTTTAATTAATAAGCGAGTACCTCTATTGGATTGCTAGCGAGTATCCGCTTTTGAATTTTTAAACGACGTTTGACGCCGAGTTATTTGCAAAGTTTTAACCAAAAGCCAGTCGAACCCACATTACCCTTTCCGGTGACTCACATGGTATTACCCAGTGCATCACTGAGGCTCTTGCTGTACCTTTTTGTGGGCCAGTTTTCTACCCTAACGGTGTCATCAACAATTATGCGTCTATGAGAACGGTTTGGGGAGCACAAATCGGCATTGAACCCAGTTATGCTCAGACTAGAAAGGTGTGGGAGACAGATCTGACCTGGACTTCAAGATTTGCCTTATATAACGACGTTTTATTTCTTTATTTCAGGGAGCTTTGCATATACTAACGGACCACAAACGTGATGCGTTGCTGCTGCGAACTGGATTTGAAGCACAACTTCTGGCGATGCCTGCCATTGTTGGAACTAGTCATAGTGAAAAGCCATCCATCATTGGTCTGCTTGAACAAGCGCAAAATTCGATTGTTGATTATTATGAAAGTTACCGTATCGAATATGAGGTGATCCATTTCAGCCATTACTTTTAATCTGCTTTAAAATAGTGTTTAAAATCTTTTTAAAGATTCCTGATGAGATGCGTGAAATCGCCATGGCACTACTTGACGAGAAAGAAGCGTGTCCATTAAATGCATGTCGTGGAATTCCCACCGAAGAGGTTATAAGAGCAAACGCTGACAATTTAGGAGTCCTTAAACAGAAGCTCTTAAGGTAGTATCCCTTTATAATTGTTGTTTGATAGTGAGCATGTTGTTTCAGGCAGTATTATGGGTTGGCTGAAAAGCTTTTGTCTTTGGCAACAGATCCCAATCTACATTGGCGGCATGTAGATATGGCTCAGGCATTTCTTTCCCTATTAGTACGCAGGTCCAAGTGTTTCTTGGTTCTTTGGTTTTACTTTTTCAAATGTGCTTTGTTGCCACTTCTCGTTTATTTTGTGGTTCGGCTAATACTCGTTATAGGGACGTGCCATATCCAGAGCCTGTTCTCCGAATGTGGGTACGTCTTCTGGTGCACGATACTGTGAAAGCTCGACGAATGGCAACTGCTGTTGTCGCCAGTTGGCTCAAACTCAACAAACCGAAAGCTGTTAAGAGAGAATGGATAATTCCATATAAGGTAACTCACAGTTGGCGCAGTGGTCGGAGGCGCCCTAGAATACACATGGAATCGACCCGTGCTCCCCAGGCTCACCATGCCTTTCATCCCTCCGAGGTCGGCAAGTTGATACCGGACTTGTCTGGTAGGATAGCAACACTGACTCAATATTTTGGTTGACCACCGCGAGTCATTTGTAAAGGCCAGATACGCATTCAATTACCTCCAACAATGCTTAGTGAAATCGAATGCATGGCGCATCGCTCAGGACTGTCTTGATTGATCAACGCCGAGAGCTTTATCCTCTTTAGAGCTTTAAGTTCTTGTTAGTTTCCAAGCGATTGTAGTTGACTATACAAGTTTCTTCTTGCTCGATCGCAGCTTTTTTGAAAATTCGGCATCATTTCATAAATTTTAAGGTTCTACGTGTATGCAGTATTTAGGAGCCGAATACGTCTGTCGGTGCAAGGTGGCCTATCCGTTATGGTATTCGCAATGACAATCGCTGTATGATGTATGAAGAGGAAGTGGGTGTTCGCTGATAAAAAGCAAAGTGGATTTTTAATGATATTTGTTGTGAAATACAACTAAGATGATGCTTAGATATTTGCAAAACTCCGGACCGCAGGTGTCTGTGGTGGGAACGAACGTGCTATTGTCCTTTCCGGGGAGTAACGCGCTCACCATCACACCATGTGGGTCCTTGGTTTCGCCTGTCTCTCAGCTAGTTCTATTGATCTGCGTCATCAGCAATCACTCGTCAACGGGACTGGTCTAGGGAGCCCAAATCGGCAGCGAACCTAGTTACGCTGAAGTTGGAGTCGAAATCACCATCTTAACCTTTTTATTTGCTGCCTACTTGAATTTTTTAACGGCAGGGTATCATGTGAAATACGGGCGATTGCTGTTGGCGCAGATCAATGGAACTAGCTGAGAGCCAGGCGAAATGAAGGACCCGCATGGTGTGGTGGTGGGCACGTTACTTCCCGGAAAGGACAATAGCGCGTTCGTTCCTCATCGCAGACACCTGCAGTCCGGAGTTTTGCAAATATCTCAGCATCATCTTGGCTGTATCTCACATGATACCCTGCCGTTAAAAATTAAAGTAGGCAGCAAATAGAAACGTTAAGTTTGTGATATTCATTGTCATCTGAAAACTTTTCAATTTACTACCATTTAGCAGGTGCATAAAGGTATTCGGTTTTGTTGCATAGAAGAAATTCGTATTATTTGCAGCGGTTGCCAAAAACTGAAGAAGAATGGGATACGTTTCAATTTTGTGGGAAACAGCATTGGGGATTTTACACTTGGCCACAGAAATTGGTCACGTAAGTGTTTTTCTTTATTGGAATTGAGGTTAGGTTAAAGTTTTTGCATGTTTAATTATGGCGGGGCACGTCTTGCGCAGTGGTCGGAGGCGCCGTGCAATACGCATGGGTTCGATCTCCGCGCCTAAACCTCACCAAGTCTTCCATACCTCCGGAGTCGGCAAAAGACTTGTCTAGGAGGGTAGCTGCATTGGCTTAATACATCGATCGGTCATTTCGAGTTATTGTAAAGGCCAAATATGTATTTAATCACCTCCAACAATGCTTAATGAAGTCGAATGCATGGCGCATCCCTCAGCGAGTAATTAACGTTGAAAGCTTTATCTTTTTATCTCTTTAATTATGTCTAGTGTCTTGAATTTTCGCTTTTTCATTCAAGAGTCGATTATTTAGATATGCTCCTCTGATTGAACAAAACGCAATCGATCGGCACGATGAAGATTTATCAGAAACGGAGATGTTTATTGTAGAGACATTCCGTGACCAAGAATTCTCGGCACGGTTGCGTAAGTTATTCGCTGTGGAAGAGGCGAAGGACGAGTCATTCAATGCAGTGAACTTTTCGCTGTTTCAGGTATGTGATATAAGTCGTGTGGATATAGAAGAGCATACCAACGATTACAAATAGTTATGCTTTATGTTTTTTTTTTTGCAGGGTCTTTTCCGGTGCTTTAACGATATCCTTTGCCCTGTATTCAAGGAACACCTTGAAGTCTTGGTAAACAGTCCTAAAGTAGGTTGCTTTCCTTCTGAGCAAAACTCGAGGCTCCATTTAGGAGACTAATCGTAACGATTGATCATTGCTTAATAATCGTGATGAAAATTAGGGCAGTGATCAAAAACTTGCATCGGAGATGGTAGCAGGTCTTATTAATGGATCAAAGCTGTGGAAGTGGGGTCGTCAGAGGAGGATGTGGACGTGGCTTTCTCCATTGTTGACAAAAGCGCTAGAGATTATGAAGGTATGTTGTATTTTTGGTCTAGATGTCGTTTTACGCATGCATTGCTCTAAGTGCGTTCTCTTAAACATAGGGAATTATACAGAAATTACGAAGTGTAAGGTACGCGTGTGGCGCAGTTTTCAGAGGCGCCCTGCAATACACATTGGGTCGACCCTTGCGCCCCAAGCCCAGCAAGTCCTCTGTCCCTCCGGGGTCGGCGAATTGGTGCCAGGCTTGTCTGGGAGGATAGCAGCACTGGCTCGATACGTTGGTAGGCCATCACGAATCATTTTAAAGTCCAGATATGCATTCAATCACCCCAACGATGCCTAATGGAGCCGAATGTATGGCGCGCATCCCTTAGGAATGGATAAACGCCGAGAGCTGTTCTATATACTATGCTTAATGTATTAATTAACGTTCCATGTTATTGGTTTAAGTCGATGAGAGAAATGTTCCATTCTTTTTCTTATGATGTCTTTTACAGGAAGAGGCTATGAGGAATTGGGGTGTTTGTGTGGCTACAGTTTGCGGTTGTTCGGAATCGCGTATGTTGAAGCCACTATTGGACATTCTTTTTGCACTCATAAATAGACCGACGGAAAGCGCATTTGCAGCACAATCGTAAGCTTTCGTGCTTTTTGTGTAAGTCGTGAAGCCGTTTTCAATGAAAACGTGGCTTTTAATTCCTGGTCTTCTCGTGAGTTAATTTTGCTTTTCGATAGAGATTAGATTGAAATAAGCTGTGTTTATACAAGTGATTTCAGACGTCTATTCCTTTTGCAAGGTGGACTATGCCAGTTTGAATGGCGTACTATAGAGTTGTGGAACAAAGTTGTTGCTCATCTATCAAAGGTAGCCATCGCGCAACAGTATGCGAATCTACGCGATAGGATGGCAATGTATGTGTCCATTTTCTTTTTTCGTCCTTGTCCAGCCATAGATGCGCGAGAAGCATAGTAATAGGAGATGCCCGTGCACAAGGGAGAGAGCGTCGACCTTTTTTGTCGCTACTTGCAGGATTTAGCTTAGTATCTGAATGGGTCAACTTTTGGCAGTCTGAAGTACAATGGTTACAGATGCTAAGCAAGACACGCATGATCCTAGCTTCCAATTTTTTTTTCCAAAGGTCAACAAGGCGCTGCATATTTCCGAAGCTGTAGATTGCTATCGGACTTTTCTGGGAAAGCCCCTTCCGATCCACGAAGTATAGTGACCACTACTGATTAGGATCCAGGAGCTCTCTCATGATTCCAAAAAGAGTTAACTCATCCAGAATTCAACGGCAATCACGAGGGCGTTCATCGCATGTTGTATAACAGATACTGGCTTCACTATTATTATTTTCAGTTTTTCAGAGTTCGTTAATGTCAAAACTCGCTAGCCTATTGTGTCAAAAATTCGAGTATTGGCAAAAACTGAACTGGTGTTTCTAATGTCTTCATGCAATTTTTTGTGGTCTAGATCACTCGTGACGGCTTCTTGGTTCGACTTACCGTCCATATACTACAGCCCTGACATACCTCCCTCACTACATGGTCCTACTGTAGCACAGTGTATCGGATTATATGATCAACATGTTAGTTGTGTTCATTTCTTGTTATTGTGAAATTAGAAATGTAAATGTAATGTGATGTGATCTTAATGTATTGTGCGGCCCGTGTGGCATACTGGTCGGAGGCGCCTTGCAATACACATATGGGATTGGTCCCAGCTCCCCAGGTTCGCCAAACCCTCCGTTCCTTTGGGTTCGGCAAATTGGTACCAGACTTCTCTGGGAGGATAGCAACACGGGCTAGACACATCGGTAGGCCACGGCGAGTCATTGTAAAGGCCATATATGCATTCAATCACCTCCAACTAGGTTTATTGATATAGATTGCATGGCGCATCCCTCAGGGATTGATCAACGTCAAGAGCTTTTTTCTTTTATTTATTTATTGCATAGTGTCCTCGTAATGTTACATTGTTTACGCTTTGGATTGCCATTATGTCAGTTTTCATGTTTGTCTAATGCACAATATACTTTCAGATGGGAGCATGTTGGGATGAGACACGCTTGAAAGGTGGAAACACGTACTCAGACGCACCTGAACTGGTTCGTTGCCAGCTCAGAAGCGAATAAATAGAAATTTTATTTTACAATTGTCCAGAAAGCGTTTCAGAACGGATCTGGTGATTCTGAAGTGAAGAGAACGGCTCGACTTGCTCTAAAGGGAGCATTGTCTTTCACATTGCATCTGGCTGGACAGTCGCTCACATCTATTCCACCATCAATTCTGCGACTTCTGCCGATCTTTTGTCACTACAGTAATGACGTTGGGTTAGTGAAAAACTTGAGTAGGTTTCACTCCAACAGTGCTGTGATAAGACGCTGAGTTGTTTGAAATTTTTCTATTACGCTTTTCATTTATATGCAATTATGTCTATCGACTTATTGTTTACGCAGAAAAATTCGGAACAAAAATACCTCTTAATACGTGAAGTATAACCGTAATGATTCTGAGATATCTGCAAAACTCCAGACCTCTCGTGTTTGCATCGGGGACTAAACACGCTCTTTTTCCGTGTATTAACACGTTCACTGCCATGCAATGCGAATCCTTCGTTTCGCCTTTCTCTCAACCGTGCCTCTTAATTTCACTAGAAAAAACGAGTGCTCATAGTTTAAGAATATCGGTAGCGGTGTGTTTCAGTGATGAAGAGCTCTACAAGCAGTGCTTGTCATTATTATCAAAGCTTCTTCAAGCAACTTATGTTCCCGAGGCGAACCTATCATGCTTAATGCAGGTTTTTCGTCAAGTGGGCTTTCCTTTTCTAATCGTTTTGTTCTCAACAATATTCCTTCTAAAATATGTTGTGTTATTGCGTATGACTACGAAATGATTAAATTAACAGATGTTAAAATCCTCATCATGTTGGTGGAAATCGAAAGTTACGATGCTTTGGTTGATGAAAGTACTTGTATTCTCAAATCTTTATGTCTTCGCGACTGTGAAAGAAGAAATCGGTAAACCAATCTCATTGAATTATTTTGCAGAAAAGTATTTTTTTTCGACTTTGAAAACCCATTCGAGTTTCCATTCTTGCTTTTGTACTCGTTCGTTTTACATGTTTTTGGGTTTGTTACTATCAGACCTTATTCATTGTCCTATTACATCGTGTTTGATGAGATCTTATGATTACTAGCTTCTATTCCCACTTTACATGCTTTAGGTGAACTCCTTTTGAGTTGTCTAAGTGAGTATCAGTTAGAGGTTCGTCAAACTGCTGCAAACACCGTATCGGGCTTAATACAAAGCTCTTTTTTTCCCGTTACCCCGAATCTATTGGTGCGGCTTTTTTCATCGTCCTTGCCTCGCAGTATATAAGTACTTTAGTTGTTGGTGTTTAGGCTACGTTCAGTGATCGGACTAAATCGATGGATCTTCTCGAACGGCATGGTGGTGTTTTGGGTCTCTCGGCAATCGTCTTAGCTGCTCCTTATACCGTCCCATCATATCTTCCGGATGTACTGATGCGATTATGTCGTTTTGCTTCAGATAAGCAGCCGATTCGGGTATGTTCTGGCTTACATGTGTGTCAATATGCTAACTCCTCCCAACGGTTTACAGCCTCATCGTGGCTAGGAGGTGATCCTGGTGTCGGGATGCGATGTACATCGGGGGATTCATCTCCTTGGCGGGTTCTCTCAAGCTGAGAAGAAGTCCGGCGTTCCCATCAGGAAGCCCAGCTAAAAGTAAACCAATACCAGATCCGTCACCGCCCTGGTACCAACCTAGTCGTATGGTGGCAAATCTACTTGTGATGCACAAGGGTGGTGACTGCCCATGTGGTGACGACCTGGTGCAGAGTTTGGCTTGGCTTACTTGCAGACTCTAGGGAACCACAATGGCTAATCCAGCAAAACTCCGAAGAAAAGTGGAGATTATTCTGGGGCCCACAAAGACAGGCCATTCAAGTATCCAAGTAATATGCTAGCTAAATACACTTAATTACAGGATACAGTTAAGAAAACGTTGTCTGAGTTCAAACGTACTCATCAGGATTCATGGCGTGAGCATGAGTCTCAGTTCAATGAGGATCAGCTGTGCGCTCTGCGGAACCTTTTCGTCTCACCGAATTACTACGTGTGAATCTAATGGCTCATTAGATGACTATTTGTATCTATTGTTTTCTTTTAAAAATGTTATTTCGTTTGAGAGGGCTCTCCAGGTACTTGGCAAGGGTTAGGATTCTTCCAGTTCTATGTCTGTCATCTTTAGTAATTACTGTGCATTATCTTCTTTCATAAGGTCATTTACTCATTTTCCGGTCATGGCTCAGTTTTTTTTTCGTGTGTTAGGATTATATTCTTATTGTTTTCTAGAGGTTCCGACGAAATATTGGCACGCCTGTTCTATGGCGATTGTAGCTACATTGTGTGAAAAGAGAATATTTCTTCTTTCTTGATACTCATGTGATTGGTAACCATGCGATTCTCCAATTTCCAGTCAGTGAAAGTTAAATATCAAGTGTAAAAGCATTTAAAGGACGTTCATAACTTCGAGATCACTGCTTAACGGTCACATACATACATATAGGTTAGATTTAGTGTCTATTCAATTTCATGTTGCACTGCTCCGCCAGCCACTAGGTTTCCTCATCAGAAGTGTTGCTTTGGATTACCTGTCTCTAATCGTCTATCACTCTTGATCAGTACCATTTTCGATGAGGTGAGCACAGCGCAGTTGTCGGAGACATCCTGCAACACCCATGGGGTCGGTCCCGGTACCCCTAGGTTCACCAAGCCTTTCATCCTTGCGGGCTCGGAAAATTGGTACCAGACTTGTATGAGAGGATCGCATCACTGGTTCGATACATCGGTAAGTTTCTGCGAGTCATAGTAAAAGCCAGACATGCATTCAGTCACCTCCAAACGATGCTTGATGAAGTCGAATGCATGGCACATCCCTCAGGGATTGACCAACGCCGAAAGCTTTATCCTTTTACCTTTTTCGATGTTATTTCTACAGAATGTTGCTTTATGGACTTAGCAGAAGACCGGTTTATGGTTTGACAAAGTGGAAGTGAAATATATTGGCTTCTTCTTTTTGAGCTTTCGTGAAATTGCAAGCAGCTTTGGCACTTTGCGTGCTGTTTTGGTTGCTCTGCATGAGTATGGTGACATTTTACCTTTGCTGACTGACCTTATCTATATCTTGCTCATCTGTTGTTTCTGGAGCGTACGGAATTTGTGCGCTATATATTGTACATCTCTATTCCAGGCTAATTCACTAGGTTGAGATTTATTCATAGCGCTTGTTTTGTACGTTTCTACCACTTCCTTTCTCTCTACCCCTCCCTCTCTCTCTCTCTCTTTCGATTGACGGTTTCCATGAGATGTTTTCTACGGTCAAAGTTAACTGGGAAGAAGCACCTATCTTCAGTTTGTCGCGTGTGGCGCAGTATTCGGAGGCACTCCGCAGTAGACATGAGATCAGTCCCCGTGGTACACACGGGATCGATTCCCTCTCCCGTGATCCACCAAGCTCTCCATCCCTCCTGGGTGTGCAAACTGGTACCAGACGTTTGGGAGGATAGCACCACTGGCTTGGCAGAGCGGTAGGCAACCGCGAGTCATTGTGAAGGCCACGTATGCATTCATTCACCTCCTACGATGCTCAATGAAGTCGAGTGCATGGCGTATTCCTCAGGGATTGATCAACACCGAAAGCTTTATCCTTTTTTCTCTCTTCAGTTTACCTTGGGTCCTACATTCTACCAATTTTCTGGAGTGTCACTGTTCGACTGGTTCTTACGAAATCTTTTTCGGTACGTTTTCATTTCAAATCAATTATTGTGAATTGTTCTTGGTTCCGCTTAGTAGTATTCTCTTTTGAATGGAATCTATTAGATGAAAGTTAGTGGGGAATGTAGTAAAATGAGGAAGCGTTTAGATGACCCTGCTGAGTCGCTGCTGTCGTGCTTGGATGTCTTTCGTGCTGCTACAGGACATCGGATTCATCTGGATGTGCTGTAATGGTCGAGCTAGATTTCTTCTGAAGAACTATGCTCCTGAAGTTGCGCGACAACACTCGTTGTCCGTGGCACTGATTGGTACCGTGAGGTGAGGACAGTCTTCGTAATTGCTTGAACTGACGGATACCGGTGACGCCCTTAGGTCCTAGGGTGGACTATTGGAAATGGAATGATTGAGACGCTTCAAGAATGTGGTGATTCTAGAAGACTTAGTCTATGCAGATTAGTTGTGCGACATATTGTACGCATATCATGCCAACGTTTTACCGCCTCATCGTGGCCGAGAGGTATTCCAGGGTGTCGGGCTGCCATGTACAGTGGGATCTTTCCACCCGGCATGGTCTCCCAAGCTGAGAAGGAGTCTAGCGTTTCTATCAGGAAATTGAATTGAGAGTAAAGCAATACCAAGATCCACCACTTTACAGGTATCAGACTGGTCGCATGGTGGCAAATCTCGCTCTGATCCACAAAGGCGGAAACTACCTGTGGTGATAACGACCTGGGGCAGATTTTGGCCTAGCTGACCTCGGGACTCCAGGGAACCACGAATGCTAAACTAGCAAAACTCGGATAAAGTGAAGATTATGCTGGGGTCCGCACCTCAAGTGAAGACGGGTCATCGGTGTGACCAAGTAACTGTTCATTATTATCGTGAAATGTACAATTCAAACAATCTTTCTATAACCGGTTTTCGTTCTGTCGAGAGCTTTTCCGAGCTATCTTGCATCACCTCTATAGCCATGTAATTCGTGTACGTCAACGCTTACATTTCCAAATACGTTTTTATCCCATTTAGACTACTACTCCTTGAATACTTCGACTCTGGTCTACTACATGCTTGTCATTTGACGCTAACTGTAGTGTATTCACTGAGTATGCTAGGAGAGATGTTCTACTTCGAGTCATTGAACTCATCCGTTCCAAATATCGCAAGGATAGTTGTCCAAGGTAAATACACTTCGTTGCTTTAACACCCTTAGTTCTGAACTCTTGAGTAACATTTGCCCTTCGTTTTGCAGTCGTCACAGCAGTTGGTTTGACGCTAGCGCAGCGTCAGCTAGAGGTCTCCTCTACTGTGGAATCACAAGGAAAAAAACGACGACTCTTTGCAAAACACTACATGGAAAAGGATATTTTAGGCCCACCAGATAGTGATAACCCTGGGCAGTATAGGAAAAAGGAAATATGAGACGTTAGCTAGTGAATTCAATAGTGATTACTACTGCGTACTTTCAATCGATTTTTATTATTGATAGAGTATGTATTCATAGGTTTGACCCTACGCTTTCGTCCTTCAACCCAAGCGATATACCAACCAACCTTCAACCCAACCAATCTAAGGTTTTTTGAGTTTTAAACAGTTGGAACAGTTGAGAACGAATTTAGTTCTTCCGTGGTGATCCTGCATAACAGACTAAACGTAGTTAGCAGTGAGCATAGTCTTTCTTATTCCGAAACTTATACATCAATGGATTGTGACGATGGAAAACGGATGTGGCTCTGAACCACTGATGTGGGCAACGGGCAACTGGTCGCCCGAGTTTCGATTCCGGAAATTCTAAGTCTAAACCCAAGTACAACCTTCTTGTATATGTTTTCCACTTGTATGTACAAATAGATTTGAAATGTTTATATTAGAGATTTTTTGTGTCGTATATGTATTCACGAAAATCTAGCATGTTGCTTTCAAGGTCGGGTAATTGTTGAATGTAAGATGTAAATGAATGTATACGATCTCCATAAAATGACAAGTGAGCACAATCGCCTAAGACATGGTTATGTACGTTTGATTTCAACTACGCCGATCCATTACTTAGCTTATAACTCTAGTGTTTGGTAGAACTTCAGACGTCCCTCAACTTCATTAAGGAGTCGGGTTCAAATAGAGCCTTGCAAAGACTGCTCAAAATTTCTAGGCATAATGGTGTGCACGCTCCCAACGGATTACCGCCTCATCCTGGCTGGGAAGTGTTTCTGGGTGTCGGGCTTCGATGTACAGCGGGCGATTCATCCTCCAGCAGGGCTTCCCAGGTTGAGAAGGAATCCGGCGTTTCCATCAGGAAGCCCAGCTTAAAGTAAATTAATACCAGGATCCAGCACCGCCGTGGTATCAGGCTAGTCGCGTTTTGGCAAACCTCCCTCTGATTCACAAGCGAGATGAGTGGCTTTGGTGGTGACGACCTTGGGGACAGACATTGACTAGGCTGACCTCGCGACTCCAGAGAATCACGATAGCTAAACCAGCAAAACTCCGAAGAAGTGAAGATTATGCTGGGGCCCGCACAACCACTGAAAACGGGTGATCCAAGTGTCCAAGTAAGTCAAAAATAGCGTGAACACACTCCATGGATTTGATACCGCTTATCCTGTCAAGTTTGTTTCTGTGGGAAATCCTTGGAAGTCCGGCAGTAATGGCCATTTTGCTGGCAAGTCCGCAATCACGGGAGATCCCGACTAGCAGTGCAACGGCAGGTCGTAACGCTTAAGAAACAACGGAGTCGGATTTGCTATGGCATTGAATTTGATCTCCTCCTATGAAAGCGACGTGGAAAGCTGTGGCTCTGACCAGGTAGGAAGCTGTGATTCTCCCTCAAATGAGTCTGATCATGCATTGGAGGACGACTCTCCGAAGTGTTTGGAAACGGAGGTAACCACGGTATGTTCATAAAGACATTCGTTCGTACTCTCACCCGGTGTCCTCAATAATCTCACTATTCATATGTCCTTTAAGTATTGGTGTTTTAAAACCTTGGGAAGAAGAGGATATCGGCTATGTTTTTAGGCCAATAGCAAACATTGTTAACGTCGAGTGGTTGAAGTGTTTCAGAAAGCTTCATTTCTATTCGGAAGCGATGAAGGAACTAGTAGCGACGACGATCGGGCAGATAAAACCAAAGACATTTCTACTCATAAACCTACGTCAGGTTGGTCCCTACCAGAAAACCTGTTTTATAAATTGGAACCGATGTTTTACATTGTAATGTTGTCGAAAAAGAGCGCGTGTGACGGAGTGGTCGGAGGAGCCCTGCAATACATTTGGGATCAATTCCCGTACCACTGGCCCACCAAGCCTTTCATCCCTTCGGGGTCGGTAAATTGGCAACAGGCTTGTATGGGAAGATAGCTGCACTGGCTCGATACGTCGGTAGGCCACGGCGAGTCATTGTAATGACCATATATGCATTCAGTAACCTCCAACGATGAAGTCGAATGCATGGCGCATCCCTCAGAGATTGATCAACGCCGAGAGCTTTTTTTTAAATGTTGTCGAATGCGTCTAAATTAGTTACAGACGTAAACATCTGGATTTTCTCTATATTTTTTGGCTAGTAGATTTAGGTATATCGCATCGTCTTCCAAGTGCCGGCTCTATTCTAAAGGGGACGTCTTTGGTGAGAATATACCGTTTGTATTCGCCGTTATAGCCTGTTGTTCTTGATGACTTCACTGAGTAGTACTTCATAACGTAATCTGGTGTTTTACACTTTCTGTTAATCGCATCCATTGCAGAGTTCAAGTGTGTTTTCAAGTGAGCGTGAACGGGAAGACCATGCACAAGTTCTCACATTAAGCCAACATGTGCCTTTAACTGAGAAGACTGGAACGAGGAAAAGGCCTTTATGTCGGTGAGGCTTTTTCCTGCTATCAATATCAACCGCTTTTCTTCATTAACCTGTTCTTCTTTAAAAGCATGTGGAATTCGCATATTCGATGGAGACCACTAGATTTTTCCAAAACATCAATGATGTTGAGCATTTTAAAGATTTTTAAGTGAACTTTGATCGAGCGATTTTTATTTAAGTTGGATTGTCCATGTTACCATCTCTTTTCCCATAGATTTTGCTTACTTACTCGGATAATACACTTACATGGCCTATCTTCATTGGTTGTGTGGCCCCAGCATAATTTCAATTCTCCGAAAATTTGTTCATTTAACTATTATGGTTCGCTAGTGCCCCGAGATCAGCTTAGCTGAAGCCCTCCCTCATGTCATCATCACTCCAGGCAGTCGCGGACCTTGTTGATCAGTGCGAGATTTGCCACCATGCAACTAGTTCCATTGAAAGACGGTGGTGATTCTTCGTAGTAGTATTGGTTTACTCTTAGCTGGATTTCCAGTTGCAAACGTCGGGCTTCTCAGCTTAGGAGGCCTGCCACGATGAAACAGTAGGCTGTTGTAAGGATTTTGGTTACTATTTCGTAAAAAAAGACAAAAAAGATAATCTCATTCGCAAAGAGCTGAACTATACTAAACTTCAGCGCTGCTTTATGCTAAGGTCCACACAACCAGTGCTGATCGTGAGGAATTTATTTTCTGTTTACTACTTATTCATTCAGAGCCTTCACTCGTGGCAAATGCAGACGTGGTGATAGATGTCACTTTGAACATCCAGTCGTTTCCGTCCTACCAAAAGACGCTGCTGTTATTGCCGGTGCACCAAGAATGTACGACGCCCACGATGTTTTTGCTAAGAAACCAAAAACTGCTTAGATTTTAAAATGTTTAAGAAGAGAACTGTTGCAATGTTTTGCGGAACCGAGAATTTACCAGGATGAGTGATTACTGGCATGTGAATGTAAGTATTGCAAGACTTATTAATAATACGTGTTATATAACAGGCAGCTCAGATCAGGCAAACCACACTTAACACAGTGGTTTGAGGTGGTATATTATATGCACAAGGTCATTTGCTCGGTTCTGCGTTCCGGGCTAGACGAGACCACCATTCCTCCGGGAAGTGGTACCACAGTTATCCGAAAGAATGGAAGCTCGGAGTTGATAAAGCATCAGGCTCCGGCTAGTTCTATGGAGCAAGTTTGAAGTTAATTACTTGATGGTCCATAATGGAGTCGAATGCATTGTGTGTCCTTAAGAATAAAGCAAAGACGAAAATGTTATAGTTTGGCTTTTGTGATAGAGCCGGCAATGAATCCTTTTTTTTCTGCTAATAGGAGAACATTCTGATTCATAGTATTATAGCTTGAATGCCGTCGTTTAGCGGTTAGGCCACTTAGGTCGGTGAGGTATTCCACAAAAGCTCTGTATGTTGTAGTAGAGCCATCATCATCCCATTGAGCTAGAACTACGTCAAGAAGTTGAGACATGGCTCGTCTGTGTCGTTCACATAAATTGCGAGTTTTTTTCATTTTGTCTTTTAGAATAATGAGTTTTATGAATTCCGGAGAACACCAAGTTATTGCATTTTGTTCCTTACGAGCTGTACCTCACGAACAGGCATTCGGTCACACTGCCTAGTGTTCCTACCCTTCTTTTTGTTAGTGAGACCACTTTTATGCAGTTCACAAGGGTTTGTGGATGAACCTCAGTTTGTAGGATTTTCGTGAAATTTAGTTGAAAATCATATTGGTGATGAATTTTTCGTGTTTTCCATTCGTTTTACATTTTTAGAGCTTGCAGAAACGCATCAGGAGTCTTGTGTGATGATGTTCTTAATTAACATAATAGGAATTGTTGTTGTGACTTCAGACTCGGTATTTTAAGTTCCCCAATCAAGTGTTATTTTATATGGAAGCAAAATATTCACCTGCTCCGACAACACTTGGTTTTTAATTTTTTTTTACGAAAGATCAGCAGTTGAAGCTATGAAAGTCCGTCTTTCTCTATAGGGAAATTGTTATGCTGTGCATAAAAGGATATTTAGGTGGTTTCGAGTTGATGACGGAAAACATTCGGTAGTAGGTTAGTAAAGTGGTGCGTGTAGAGCAGTGGTTTGAGGTGCTCCGCAGTACACATGGGTTTGATCCCACGCCGCAGACTTGCCAAGTCTTCTATCCTGACGCGCTCGGCAGATTGGCGGCATGTTTGAGAGGATAGCAGCACTGACTCAGTACATCAGCAGGCCGCTGCGAGTCATTACAAAGGTCAGATATGCATCCATTCACCTCTAACGATGCGTAATGAAGTTGAATGCATGGTTGCATCTCTCAAGAATCGATCAACGCCGAGAGC